GAGACGGTCAGGTGTGATCTCCGACCGGTCGCTGGATAGTGGCACGCTGGATACAGGATGCCTATGGGACGACGACAATGGATGGCGGGATGCGACGCTCACAGCCTTAAGCCCTGTCGTGAAAGCGCCAGTCCTACGCGTGTTCTGGCGAAGGAGACTGCGTGAAATGATGGCTTTGGCATGCGGTAGGCCATCCCCCCGTTTCTCTTGCGCACTTCTTTGATCATGCTGTCTGTAGGATTGTCAGCGCGACGGTCACAGTCGTGATCAGTGCCCATGCCTTGCTTCGCAGTCCAAAGCCACGGACAGCAGGACGGCGACGAGCGCACGAGGGCATGTCCAGCCCGAGTGCGACGCGGGTGAGCGCGAACGACGGTTGCAATCGGTCTTGACCGTCTCTCGTCGCGCGCCTCGTCATTTGTAGTATCAGCGTAGTCAACATCTCGCCTGCGTCTCGGTACGCTCTGGTCATCCACACATCTAACGAGGTCGACAGCATCCTCAACGCGAACAGGGCGATTGAGCGTAGAGACCGCCCTAGTCGACATGTACGCGCGAAGAATCGAGTAGCAGGTGTGTAGGGAAGTGCAATGATCACCGTGTCAAACGTTTCCCAGCATCTGCTGTGCATCGCATCAAATCACGGTCCACGCCGCGGTCCGTTTGCATCAGCGGTGAGCGCAAGGCACGTCTTCGTCTTCTATCGCAGCGGCGTGGCCCCGACGCGCGGTCTGGTTTCGGTACGAGGCGGCGCGTTCGATGATTCGGCATTGACGCACTCAGCGCGGAGAGGTCAGTCAAGTACCGTCGATGAGACGGTCGGGTCATTCGTGAGACGTGATCTTCCGATTGCAACGAGGAGAGCGGGATTGAATGATATGCGCCGGATAGTACGGGCGAGGGCGAGTTGGATGGAAAGGGATAGTAATGGGAGAGTCGGGTGAGCGGATCGTCGGCGATGAAGGGATTCAATGGCGGATTAGGGCCACACGGCACAGGGATGTTATCGAGGTGTTGGAGGAGAAGGGGAGGATGACGAGGGAATGTCAAAAGTAGCTGGAAAGGAATGGAATACAGTTCAGTGTGACTGAAACAAAAGCGGCTTACCAGGCTTTGCGAATGAGCTGCAGCATTCGATGTGCCCCTGTAGCCTGTGCTACACCTCTGTACTCTTGAAAGGGCCATGTCTCCACGATACTGCACGGTCGTATCTCGCCGAGATATATCTGGCAGCCATGGCATGTGCGCGTCTTGGACAGTGGGCACAACGCGTCGGAGAGTGGACAGGTGGCGCGCGGATTGGACGGCTTGCAGGGGAACAGAAAGTGCGCGTCGGGACAGGTACGCATGGTGGACACAGGCGGGGGATGAGCGCAAGCGAGTGAGACGATGGGCGCCTGCATATGACGCGAAGTGGGCGCTTCCATCTCACTAGCCTCGACATGCCAGACAGAGATTCAAGTCATCTATTCGCGTCAGTCTTGATCATTCTCTCACGTGCACCTTCCTGCCTTCCTTCTTCACAAAGTACTGACGGCACACACTACCCCTCCAGTAGTCCCTACAAGATGCCTTCCGTGACCCGTCCTCGCCATTCCACCTACCGCCCGGAACGCAAGGCCCCGCCTCCCCAGATCCCCCCGCCGAGTTCCTGCACACCGAAGCCCAGGAGACGCGGGCGGAGCACGCCCGCACAAAGATGCTAGAGCTGGGCTACGACCCGAGCAGCTTCTGGGAGCAGCGGATCGTGTGGGGTGACCACGACGCATTCCAGTCAGTCAACCCCTGACCTGTCCGTCTGTATCATCTGAACACGAGCCATCCAGACACGTAAACAACGTGCGCTACGGTACGTTCGATGCGTATACGAAGCAGCACGTCAGCTGATAGGTATCCGGGTCAGTGCGCTTCCTCGAGTCGTCCCGGATCGAGTGGATGGTCTCCCTAGGCAAAGAAATCGGCGGCGCCTCCCGAGCGGACGACATGCTCGCCGGGCGCGGCATCTCGCTCATCCTCAAGACCATCTCCATCGACTACAAGCGGCCCGTCGTCTACCCCGACACGCTCCTCATCGCGCACAAGCCGCACCCCGGCCCGCTCGTCTCGACCTCGGACGTGCACAAGACGGAGTTC